CCGGTGATAATCTCTAGTCATAGTGATCGCCGCTCAGTGACCATCTCTGGTCATAGTGAACATCTCCGGTCATAGTGTCCGCCACCCAGTGACCATCTCCGGTCATAGTGACCACCGCACAGTGACCATCTCCAGTCATAGTGACCTTCTCCGATCATAGTGACCGCCACCTAGTGACATCTCCGGTCATAGTGACCACCGGACGTTGACCATGTTTCGTGTTCAGTGACTTCCAGTCTTCCACTCTTATGCCCAACGGTCAAGGACTAACTCCAACAGATCTGTCACTGCCAAATCCAGTAGAAAAAGTCGGTGTCTGGTTAGCAGCGTCACCGCTTCAACGCCGACCGTCCCTGCTTGAAACTCTAGCCGCTGCCCACCTAACTGTAACCCTAGCCTTTTCCTACTACTTTCCCTGCTCAAGTCATTTCCACCTACCCTTTTCCATGTCTCAATTTTGCACATGCACTGCCCAGTCACTCCCCCACAAATTGAAACCCAGACACTCTGAATCCCAGCCATTTGCAACCACCATACGCCGGCGCCATAAAAAATCATGGCCACATGGCCCACGTCCCTCCGACTCTCACCATCTCTCATCAATGGCGCTTAATTGGGATATGCATGGGCGCTTGAGAGATGAAGCAGCGAGACATGAAGTAGAGGTGTGCGGTCGGCGGATGAGATATGAGGCAGCGGCCGGTGGGTGAGATCTGAGGCGACTTCCGGCAGGTGAGAGTATGGCGGCGGCATAGGAAAGGTGAAGCATATATCGATAATACTCCGTATTAAATGGGTTTGGGGTTGAGGCAGTTTCCGTATATTAAATGGGTTTGGGGTTGAGGTCATTTAAGAGGTGTCACTTTTTTGGGAAAAACAAAAGATGTCATATTTTTGAAAATGAAAACATGGGTGGTAATATATGGGTCATTATTTCAGTACTAATTAGCTAGTTTTTTTATATACATTAGCTAGTTGTTTTTATTTAACTCGATCATTTTGATAGTCATTTTGACTGGCCGATAGCATGCATTGTCATTTACTCATTTTATATGAAAAAATAGTCCATGTTGAGACATAAAATTTTTGTTGTTAAGTGCTAAATCATTCTATGCAAAATGACATTTTGAGGCTTACATTGAATTTATACAAAGATTAATTAATTAAATCATAATATTATTTTATATATCTTTTTATTGAAACTGCAATAAACAAGCAACTATTTATTGTTAAGTATTATTACTCATATTTTGAAATATTTTTTTCGAGAGTTATTTACTAATTAACTCAGAGTCTGCTTGATATCACTTAAATTGGCACAACCGACTGAAATTGATGAACTTATGGCTAAACCTACCAAATTGGTTGAATCTGCTGAATTATGAAAGATTTATATCTAAATACATTTTGTTCATAAAATAAAGAAATATTTATATGGAAAATAACTAAATTAGCCCTCTTTAGCAGGGGTGGACCGTAGTTGAGACCCAGGGGGCTACCGCCCTTCCAACAAATTTGTTTTAGTGTATAAATATACGAAAAATAATTTTCAACTCCTCGAAAAATAATTTTCACCCCCAAAAATGAATTTCCTGGGTCCGCCCATGCTCTTTAGGGAATTCGGTCAATTCAGTTAAAAAAGAATTTCAATTTTACTTATTTTTGTTACTACACATTTCATTGTGAGACATTAAGTGTTTGATAAAAAAAAGTAAAAAACAATATACTTCGTACGTAGTACTACGTTACGTAATACTTTTTGATATTTTTAGCAACATTTTCGTGCTTGTAAGTTTTACTACATGCAGGGGATGAGGAGGAGGAATTTGAAATAATTAATTATCCTAGGTATGACTAAAACCCAATGAGTTTCTCAATTTATGACCTAACTAGTTTTTTTTATCAAAATAATACTAAAATCTTAATATTTAATCAAAATTAGTAATTAATAAATAATTAAATAATTTTTATGGACAAATGTACCCTTTCGCTTATTTCTATAAAACCCTAACCTCCTATTCATTTTCTATAACCCTAGCTACAATCTCCCAACGCACAGCCGCGCTGCCGCCCCGCCGTCCAACTGTCGTCGTCGTCTAGCCACCACCAACCGTTCAGCGCCGCCGCCCACCATCCATTGCCGCCGCCTTCCACAAAACTCCAGTCTAGGAGCGTAGTTGCAGACCCAAAGGCACCGTGGCTTGCTGGCCAGTTGTCCGCCAAGGTGCTGCCTCACGACCCATTGTCCGCCGCCATCCAGGAGCACGACCGGCGGCCACCCGCACAACCAATCATTTGCTTGCCCGGCCACCCCCACATCTTCTTGTCGCGGTCACCGTCGAAATTGACGTCAGCGCCCGTCGTCGTCCCGATTCATGAGCACCACCATCCAGCCGCCCGCCATCTTCTCCAAGATCCATAGGTGGAGAGTGTCCAAAACCTAGCAGGTGAAGATGGGCTTGTAGTTTTTACATGCGGATCGATGGGCCTATTACATCAAGTTTGTAGATGCGTTGAATGGGCCATGGGGCGGCCACTGCTTTGGAATCGGGATTCAGTATTGCTTTGGCCATCAATTCCCTTTTTGCTTTTCTATTTTAAAAACTAGGAATTTCTAAAATTAGGGTTTGTGGGCATTAAATATGGACATTGAACATTGGCGGTGAACATTTCAATAAGTATTGAGTGTGAGAGTGAATATACGAAGTATATGGTAATAGACATGCTATACATGACAGTCAATGAATGCATTAGGAATTTAGTTGTGCAGAGATTACGACAAGTATTGCAGTAAGTCAGTAAGCCAGTAACACAAAGTAGTAATATCATCATGAAATTAAATGTAATATACTTGATTCAACATAAAACATTAAAATTATCAAATCTATAAAAAAAACTAAAAATAAATCCCTCAAGTAAATGAGAAGAGAATTAATTTTGGTGGAAGTGCACTGATTATTACCGGATGTGCAGGAAAACCGTGCATTAATGTCGTGCATTAACGGAAATATAAAATGCAGTAATTTTAATTGGACAAAATTAGTGCAAAATGCACATATTTTAAATAAGAGTATTTTCGTCATTCAACATTTAAATATAAACGAATTTTCTATTTGTTTTTGGATTTTTGGTCAACAAAGGTATAAAAACTAATTAGGTCATAGATTGAGACAGTTTTAGTCATACCCGGATAGATTTCCCTTTATTAGATTTCCCTTTATTAGTTAGCAGAGGAAGTAAAAAAGGAGCCTTGATTCACTTAGTGGCATGGGCTGGTTAAAATGTCAAATCAACCTCAAAATTGATCGAAGTAATAAAAATACTCAAGAGTTGCCAAAATGGAGCGAGGATGTGCAAAATGGCAATTCCAGCCTATTATGTTTATTTTTTATCCATCTTTCATAGTTAAGCTTGATTGAGCTACATGTCATTTAGGTGGGATAGATAGGATTTATAGGACATAAATTCCAGCCTATTGTGTGGCTTATCAATTTGATTGTGGCGTCCATAGCTCTGTTCTCTTGTCTTTCACTCCTCTGAAAGTTGCAATTCTTTTTCCTCCTCGCATTCTGAAAATTTTAAAATACTAAAAATAACTAATCAAGAACAACCACCTATAGAACTATAGAAGTGCAAACAAGTCAAGTCGCTCGTGAGCTACTCCTGAGCCGCTCGGTCAATACTCAACTCTAGATCGGTCAAAATCGAACTGAACTCGAGCTCAATTCCTTTGAGCTCGTCGGTGTTAATGGCCTGTTTGATGTGAAATTCTTGAAGATATCAATGGCATGAGGAAAGTTATGTCTCTCAACACTTATAAACGAACACCAATTGACATTGGGGCCTTTTATCCAATTTGGTTAATTACGTGGTAAAGCTCAGTTTGGAATGGTTTTAGGTTTTGTGTTGTGTAATGCACACAAGGCCATGCCATGAGTACCGGCACATTGATAGGTATTATTCTACTCTCTCACGAATTTAATAGATAAATAATACCTCAAGACCATTCAAGAAGACCTCATTGGAATCTCCCTTTAATATATATAGCTTGAGTTTGTATTGGAGATCATATTGCATCCCTTTATTTTTAGGATATTTTTCATTGGATGATCACTCAATACGTGGATAATATACACCTACAAGTATGGAACAAATTTTCTCACTGTTTCCACCAAAGGCAGATCGCACTTCTATTTCCTACATCTCCTTTTTTGTAGTACGTTTTTTATTCATGAAAATAATGTTTCCATTTTGATTTTCCCCTAGAAGAATGCAGTTAATTGACTCGTAGATGAATATGCTAAGAGGTTCTAGTTGATTGTTGGATTCCTTCTGAATCCTCCCAGGTTTCGTGTATATAATGTTTGGTTCAATGCCTCTTGTGGTGATCATGTAACCTAAGAATTGTCCTCAACTTATAGCAAACACACATTTCTTTGGATAGAGCAGAAGGTTGTAATTCACGACCTTCAAATTTGTGAATGTTTTTCCCTTGCGTTTGTCAAATGTCAAGCTGAAGGGCATAACTTTGTACTGTTGTAGCAATAGACAGTTAGACACTGCCTGGGTGATGAAAGTTGTGTTTATCTCATCTCCTTTCTCCATGAAGATCTCATCACAGAAACATTTTACAATTTTACTTTTTTAAATAAAACTTTCTGCCATTCTAAGCTAGTCCAAATCTTTCAAATAGAGAAAAAATAAAGCTATCCAAAGCCATATCATACTGGTTGAATGCTTTCAATACATGGGAGAATGTCAAATTAAAGTATTGTATAACTTCCACTTCACCCACCCAACTTATAGTAATGCCTCAGCTTCTAAACTATTGTATTGTATTTGTATACATGTGACTAGTGGTAGAGAAAGAGGGGCTGGAGGAGGTCTGAACAACGCAAAACTGTACATATGTAAAAATATTTACGATCCGCAAAAGTATGTTAAAATGTTAAGCATTGACCTAACCAAATTATAATGGGGTTAAGTGATTAATGATACCCCAAAAGTGATTGCACTTGCAACAAAATAAAATGGCTTAGGAGTGGTATCAGCAAACCCAAACATCAATTCCAGTGAACTCATATATTGTCATAATTAATAATCCTACATCAACAAGGAACAGTACTTTTCAGACATTAGGACGTATGGCAGTATAGCGATATACATATTTACTCACGAAATCATATGTAACCTTCCAGGTCGGAACAGTATTACTTTTACATGAGTCAATAAAAGAGGACCACCTAGCAATTTGTGTCATAACTTACAAGTCCAATCAGCTCGGGGCCTTCCAGCCGAGGATTATTCTCAAAGCTGCAAGTCAATAACAGAGAAAACATTAATCACCACGCAAAAAACAAAACCATATTACACTTTAAAGAGCAAGAAAGTATGGAGACTTGTTAGAACAGACCAATCTTGAAATATGTGTAATTGCTTTTTGTGCATGCTTACTAGGTAAGAATTGCTCCCTCTAGTACTATATTATAAGGCATGAGATTATTCCTAAAAGATCTACCGGGTAGGAAGAAGAACCCACGAATGAGTTGCTTTGTATTTTTACATTTGTTTGATATGGAATCACTTAACACTAGAAAATTTAAACTTGACCTGAGGGTGGAGCACGATGGATTAATAAACAATCGTTTGAACAAACTGATAAATTAGATGCACGCTTTAAGTGTGGTTTCCTCTAAGAGTCTAAGTGCCTTATGTCCTAGTTGAATGACCTCAACCCGATCCTGAACTATATCAGCAAGAATACAAACAGTAACAATTTTACTCCATACAAATAAAATAGGTTAACCCTCTAGTCCCTTCACAACTTGTAAAGAGTATTTGAAATCTGTTCTGTAGCTTGCAAATGAAATTTCAAAAAGAAAAAAAAATGAAGAAAATAAATGATAGAGTGTTACTTGTTAAGCGGAATGTGCTCAAATGGACCAGTGGTTGGAATAGTTCCACACAGATCGTTGCTTGATACATCCCTGTATAAAGGAAAAATTAAGGTGTGGTGTTCCTTAAACCATAATACAAGTAGTAACTAGTAACAACAAAATGGACTAAGTTCTGATCCACTTACATGACTTTTAGGGTAGAAATACTAGCAATTTCCCTGGGAATTCTTCCAGAAAACTGATTATTGTTAAGACGCCTGCACGATTAAACCACAAATTACTTCTGATTAGTCTCCATTCCAAATGCCTATCTTGGTTCTTGTGAAATATCGCATTACTCAGATGTTCATTAAGAAGGTGAAAATGATATGTCACTATATTACCATAATCAAATAAATTAGAAAGAAAAAGTTAAACATAATTTCAGGGAGGAGGTACAAAAGAAGGCCAGAAAGAAAAGTTGAGTACAGAGACTTACAGGAAGACAAGGTTTTTCAACTTCCCCAATGAACGAGGAATTTTCCCAGACATGTTGTTGTTGTACAGATCCAAACTTTTAAGGTTCTTCAACTCACCAAACTCATGAGGAATTTTTCCTTGAATGTTATTTTTGTAAAGTTCACTGAAAAAAGATCTCTTGTTAGTTATTACTACGTACTTATTAGTGTACTATATATCTTAATTTCAAGAAACGCTATCATTGTCAGATCCCGTTTTGTATTATGTCCTCTTCAGCAATATGAGACAGTTCAGCTAAAAAAGTAACTTCAGACTTATTTATTTTTGTTTTGATTATTACAGAATTCTGCACGCAAAATCAAAAGTTTAATATTTGGTAAATGAGTTGGTTGTTATGCTGAAAATAGAGGCTACCAAACGGGCCCTTTGTTATTAAGATATTTCATGTAAACAGAAAACTCACAGATACTCTAGATGCTCAAGCTTCCCTAGATCAGGCACCAGATGCCCAGATAGGTTTGCGTTTCCAAGGTCCCTGCAGTAGATAATATACAAATCGAGATTCTTTTATGAACTACAATCCATATTCACGATGAATATCAAGATAATAATCAGGAATGAGAAGAAGTAGATGCATAATAGGAGAACTATAATTGAAGTCTTATAGATTTTTGCAATTGGGCGTTAAAAGGGGACAATAAATTCCCTGGCCACAAGGATGCAACCTGATCATAAATCTTGTGAAATCCATATAGAATCACTGATCAGAACTCTTTCTGAAAAGAGTATAGAACAAACCATCCAGGCTTGTTCATAGACTTTTTTTTTCTATTTGTTCCATTTGGGATCAATCATTTTACACAAATCAAGGAAGAAGTGAAGAACATAACAATTCAACAGATCCCATACACACTGCACATACCACAAGAAAAGGAGGGATCTTTCACTGACAGATGATTCAGTAATATAATCTAACAACATAAATGAACTTTAACTCTCCCTCTACCAAGCAAAATTAAAAAAGGATATACGAGGAATAATAAAAATCAAAACCCAATTTATGCAAAAGAGGGAGAGAAGAGTGGACTCACAGGCGAGTAACTCGGTTCTCACTGTTGCAAGTGACATGGAACCAGGTGCAAGGGTTCACCAGATTGCGTTCCCAGCTCAGGAGCACTTTATCCGGGTCCGACAGGCTACGCCGGAGCGCGTAGAGAGCGTCTCCTTCAGAATTTCCTGCAACTCTTCCGGCAGCAAGGGATGCTACTGCGACCAGAACAAGCACCCATCCTGAAGAAGAACGAGCAGCAATCGCCATAGCTTCCTTCTTCAACCAATACCCGACCCGAGTGCTGACTTACAGGCTTAGAGTTTGGTCAATGATCTGTCAGGTCAGGCGTGATCGACCCGTGGATATATATACTCAGGAAAATACAAGTATGGAGAAGAATAGTCCTTGTGTACGGCTCAACACCTGCCTGTTGAAAGTAGACGGCCCATCACCCTTTTTTAAGAGCATTTGTATAAACAAAAATGATAGGGGCACACAAGTTCTTGTACAACTTGTACATAAAATGTCAATCACAAATAACTTTTGTCTGTGTTCATAAATATTAATTTTTGTATAAAAATATATATCGAGTGTCGCCTGACATTAACACCAGCTTGTAAATAATTGTCTGCGCAACAAGAAAATATTGTCGGTGCACACAATTATTTGTTTGTGCATCACACAGACAATAGTCGTGCGGCTTACACACAATAGTTGTCTGTGTGATTAATTTCAAGTGCCGGTGTGATCAATTTTAATTGTTTAGGTGAATAAAAAAATTAATTGTTTATATACATCCAAATGAATGATGTAGTTGTATGTGTGATCAATTTACATGTAATTTGAAAAAAATAGAAAAATGATAAAATAATAGATGAAATAAGCTAAATAAACTGATTTTGTACAAATGATGGGAAAAAATTGATATAAAAATGTAGAGAAAAAAAGGATGAAGAAGAGAAGATGTTCTTTTTTTTAGAATTTTCGAAGCGTAAAGAGGAAAGAGAAAAGAGAGAGGGGGGAGAGAGAAGAGGGAAGGGAGGAAATGGGATTTTTTGGGGGCTTTTATATGGTGTACACTTTGTGTACACCTTGTGTATTTTAAGCATTTTTCTTGTATAAAAGCATCCCCGGTAGTATGATATAGACTAGTTTTCACATTTTCAATTTTTTAAATAAAAAATAGTGAAAAGTAGCAAATAAGTCATCAAACTATTTGTTGTTCTGCAATTAGATCCTTAAATTGAAAGACATGCATATACACCTCTCAATTCATTGAAAATTAAACAATCGAGTCCTTTTAACCTGATGGTGCAGGTAAGGAGATGGGAAATTACCGGTATCAACTGGTAAAAAGGACTAGAATGTTTAACTTTTAACGAATGTATCTGCAAGTCTTCATGAGTTTGATTACATAATCGCAAATAGCTTAAGAACTTACTTTCCCTTTTTCTCTAAAAATACGGAGGACTACGTACTTAACTTTAATTTTGCGCAAACCATCAAAATAATTGACCTTTGATTGGTTGAACTGACTGAAGGTATTGTTTAAAAATTATTGTAACTATTTTTCAACATTTGATTGGTTGAACTGACTACTGAAGGTATTGTTTACAAATCATTGTAACTATTTTCATACATAGTATTCTCATGTTTTTACTATAAATAGATCAAGTATAGTCAATGTGATTTCGACTCATTAAAAACTCATATCTGTTTTTTTTTTGGAAGAAAAAAACTCTTTATCTGTTAGAAATTCACATAATCCAACTACTCACACACCATAGACAAATGCATATCTAGTGACTGCTCTATACATACATGACACATCTTTTGTTATTTTAAAAGTAAATGTTTGTTATCTGTTTTAATTTTGTTATTCAATTTTGAGTTTGTTTTAACAAAATTATGTAATTTGGTTCATACTCTTTATTTTATTTCTATCTTTTCGCGTACTCTTCTTATAATTTTTTACCTAAATAAATCAATCCAAATATTTATCTGTGATTTTTAGGAAATCCACAGTATTTTAACTTCATATGGAATGATCTATAAGTCTATCCAATCTGAATCCGGAACCCGTTGGGTGACTTGGGTCTATCATTGTCAAATCAGTTATACCTAACTTACATTACAAATGAATATTTAAGAATGAGCAATTACACATAAATTCTCTTTAAGAGAAAAATATCAGCATTAAAAAAGAAGTATTATGAGAACATGGAGGAAATGAGGAAGTAAATTAACAATCATAAAACGACAACTATTACACTTTAATTTCCTCAAAGTGCAATATACCATGTGAAGAAAAAAAAAAGATACTTTATATCCTCTCCTCCAAAAACTGTTATTCATTTTTAAGCCTCTTTTTAATGGAATGATTTGGTAACTGGATTTCTTTCTCCATTGCCCGAGCATTTTTTTACTGTATAATTTGTATTTAAGTATGCTAACTCAGTAACTCGATATGGCAAAAAAGGGAAATTAGATAATAATCAAACGGCACTAATTAACCTTTTGTTTTTTTTCTTGAAGAAGCCTAAACTTTGAAGTGATAATAGTCAAGGTATGAAAGTCAAGAATGGAGGCTGCAAAGGTCAACACCGTGTTTCGTTTTCCAAACGTATTCTCTTCTTTTCTCCTAAATTTGCAAAATTCATGGTCCGTGATTAAAAAGAGGAAAAAAGAGACATACTGCGTATTAATTTGACAGATTTTTTTATTTAGAAAGTGGCTACATTTCTCTAACGTGTTTTTTTTACAACATTACTCACAAAGTTAGAGAAAATGTTTTATCTTTTCATAATGATGGAGTATGGAGTATATGGTCTAGGGACCCCCTGCCCATAGACTCTTACTTCTCCTACACAGGCTCATCAAGCCCAGTGAGCACACAAGGCCCAAACACAGCGGCCCAAGCGTCAAGAAGCCTGTGGTGCGCGGACGGGTGCCTTTGGCCCTTTGGCCAAGGGCTCCAAAACTCACAGGACAGCCAGATTTGAGCATACGAAGCTGCTGGGAGAAAATGACAGAAATCATGACCCTTCGGCACCTACGTGCCCTCGGTATAAGGGAGCCTTCGGCTACACCAAGCCGTCGGCTATGCAGAGCCCTCGGCCTCAGGGGGAGCCTTCGGCTACGGGCTCGATCATCGAAGATTCCCTTTGAAGACAAGCAATCACCGCATTTAATGCGGCGTCACGTCCAGCCACCTCATTTAATGTGGTGCACATGCGAATGTCGGTGCCACCCCGATTGAGGTGATCCCTCGGCCGTTAGATTGTTGACATGTGTACTCTCATCGCATTTATGGCTGCTATAAATAGCAGCTCTTATTCCTCTTGTAAAGGATCCCAGATCAGATTTCATTAATATATCTGACACTCTCTCTCTTACTTGTTTGCTCTGACTTCTCTCTAGTTATTCCTCGAATAACCCCTCTGATAAGCTACCCCCGGGTACACAATCCATCACATAAATTGAAGCAAAATTCCAAAATTAAACAAGAAATAATGACAAATGTAATACGGAGTATCATTGATTTTTTAGAAAAGGGGCAAATAAGCCCACGTACTAATCAAAAAAGGTCAAATAAGCCCTTATATAGGAGGCTCTGTCCGGCGTCGCCATTTGGGATAATTCCCGGTGAAATTTTTTGATAAAATTTTTTGAGCATCTTATTCATTAAGTATAGTTTACCCATACCAAATTTCAGCTAACAATTCAATTGGGAAGCCATTCAAATAAATTCTTGAAGATAAGTGCGCTTTTAACTGCACAATTATCTTTAAGAATTCATTTGAATGTCTTCCCGGTTGAAGTTTTAGCTGAAATTTAGTATGAGTAAACTACACTTAATGAATAAGATGCTCAAAAAAATTCATCAAAAATTTCCCCCAGGAACCGTCCCAAATGGCGACGGCCGGATAGAGTCTCCGATATAAGGGCTTATTTGACTTATTTTGATAAGTACGCGGGCTTATTTGCCCCTTTTCATTTTTCAATTGACAAAAACATACTTAAAGATGAAAAAAAGAGTAAAAAAAAGACCAAATTTTCGCATGAGCTAAAAAAGAGACTACTTAAAGATGAAATGACTAAAAGCCCACACATACAAACATACCAAACCCTACCTGTCTGGACACTTGTAGTAAAGGCATCATTGCTAAATGGCTACTTCTCTTCGGGACCATCTGCATAACCAAGCCCTTCACCTTTGTGTCGTCATCAACTGCACCGTGGGTAAGTTGTAAATCAGAGTGAGTGGAATAATAAAATATTTGTATTCCTATTCGTTTATTTAACGAATTCAGATTCGAATATGAAATGAATATTAATTTTGATTTGTATTTATATTCTTTTAACAATAAAAATAGTTAATGAATCATATACTAATAATATTGAATCAGATTAAATATAGGTTAAATATTAATTAGTCAAATATACATAATTATTTGAATATGTACTTCAAAGATGTTCGAACCAAAAATATGATTTATATTCGTATTTATATTCTATATATATTCTCGAATTCAAATAATAGTATTTTTTAATCCCAATCACGAATCGAAACAAATTATTTGTTTCATTTACAACCCTGACTCCGTATGATAATTCTTATTTTTTATAAATGGGGTTGGAATGTGTATGCGTAATTAAAAGTGTTATGAGCTACACTTTAAGGTTATATCTAGCTTTGAAAATTATTAGAAATAATTTCAAATATATAATTAAAATAAAAGTATGAACAAAATTGTGACTCGAGTAACTTTAGTGACTTTAATTGTATTCAAATATTACACTTACCGCAGTGATCATAAAATTTACTCATAGTAACTTATAGTCACATTTTTGTCCATGAATTTTTTATTGGGAAAATGGAAACTAATAATCCAACATTTTAGCGGTCTTCTTTTAATAGTCCGACCTTTTCGTTATTCATGAATAATCCAACCTTTGCACCCCATCTTCATTCATTGGTCCCCGACCGGTTGATGACCTGCTATTGCGAGTTATTTTCTTATCTCTGTAAACTATTATACCATAAATTCCACCTTTCACAAAGATAATATTTTGCAAAGATAAGAAAATAACTTGGAATAATAGGTTATCAACCGGTCGGGGACCAGTGAATGAAGATGGGGTGCAAAGGTTAGATTATTCATGAATAACGAAAAGGTGGGACTATTAAAAGAAGACCGCTAAAAGGTTGGATTATTAGTTTCCATTTAAGCCAATGGTGGTGCGGCATTGGTTTTTTTGTTCTAGTTTTTTGTTTGGTTGAAAGAGAACAAGATCTCCATAGTTATGAATACCACAAACATCTTGTTTAGTGTTGGTCATGAGCGGAAGACAGGTACTTAGTCTTCGGCGGCCGAAGGTCGTGCACCCCTGACAGTACGTGGAGAGTTTCGAGGACGTCGTTCATGGCTGAGATTATAAGGTCATGAGCAAAGCTTATGGCTAAAGGCTGGAAGAGATT